CAAGAAAGATGACACATTTATCCATGGGTTTGCTGCTGCTGCTGCTGCTGCTGCCAGAGACACAAAGAGATACTTCTTTTCCTGTTCGAGGGTTTGTTGCTTTTGTTGCTGTCTCCTCTATTCTTCTATGCTTTATACGTCCATTCAGGTACGTAAACCCTAAACCCTAAACACTAAACCCTAAACACTAAACCCTAAACACTAAGCCCTAAACCCTAAACCCTAAACCCTACATCACACATACATACGCATGCAAACACAACTTTATCTGCTATTTTATTTTAGGGTTTCGTGCATAATATATATATCCCATTAAAAATAGAGAAAAAACTCAAAACTTTTTTTTAGGGTTTAGGGTTTAGGGTTTAGGGTTTAGGGTTTGAATTTTTTCTCGTTTTTTTTTTCCATTTTTTTTTTTGTTTTTTTGCAGATTTGGTCGTTATGGAGATAAAGGAATAATTGTATTTAATTTATTAGTTTTATTTTTTCTTTTTTATGACTTAGATTTTGGTTATTTAGCTCCTGCCTTTATTGCTGATCCTTTAGGGGCACTTGTTGGTAAAACCCTAAACACTCCTAGATGGATCGGAAGGAAAACGGTAAGGGTTTAGGGTTTATAAGGGTTTATAAGGGTTTAGGGTTTAGGGTTTATAAGGGATTAGGGTTTATAAAGGTTTATAAGGGTTTTAATAGTTTATTGTATGTGTTGATGATCATATAAACACGAATATAATGAATGAGGGTTTAGGGTTTTCAGAATTAGGGTTTAGGGTTTAGGGTTTAGGGTTTAGGGTTTAGGGTTTTTTTTTTTTTTTGTGTGTGTATATATATACAGATTGGAGGTTCAATAGCAGTATTTATTGGTTGTTTTGTGTCTTGTTTCCGTATTGAGGGTTTAATTCCTCAATTAGGGTTAGCAGCAGGTAGTTGTTTATTGGAGGCAACAACAGGAGAATTAGATAATCTTTTTATGAATATTCCTATCTTTGCTTATTATTGGGCTAATTATACAGCTAAACAACATGGACTTGTATTCAGGGGATAAATTAATTCATTAATTCATTTAATTAATTAATTAATTAATTAATTAATTAATTAATTAATTAATTAATAGCTAGGAGGCTAGCTAGCTTGCTACACAGATAGCTAGCTAAGGCGCTGCCTGATGGTGCTGCTAGCTAGCCGACTCGCTCTGCTTGCGAGAGAGGGATGACTAGCTATCCAGCTAGCTAGCTAGCTGGATAGCTAGCTAGCTGGATAGCTAGTCTTCTACGCAAGTAGTTGACGCCTGTGGGGCTGTGCATGCAATTCTTTAATTTGGCTAAATTAATTAATTAATTATTTTTCTTGTTTTTAATAATATATGTATATACATATATGTATTTATATGTATATATATAATTTTTCTCCTTCCTCTCAATGAGGGAAGGGGGCTAGGTCTTTTTTTTCTTTTTATACAAAGAAATAAACAATAAAATGAATAATTTATTTTTTCTTTTTTGTTTATTTTAATTGGAAATAAGTTAAATGGAGGAGTGAGGAGGGGGAGAGGGTAGCTGAGGTGTACAGGCAGCTCTCTTGCGGTGTATAAGGGGTAGATTTGTTTATTTTGCGTTGAAATAATTGAAATAATTTAATAAATAAAAGAATAAAGCTAATTTAAATATAAATAATGAATATTTCTTCTTTATTTTATTTATATATTTAATTATGTAGTTGCGGTGTATATACACCACAGCACCACCGCTAACGTGCAGGTATTTGCACGATGGTGGTTGGGGGGTGATTAAGGGGTGTTTTTTTTGCTATTTCTTTAATTAAATGATTAAAATAAATTAAATTAAGTAACGTAAAATATATTTTATGTTTAATTACTTTTTATTAAGAGAAATAGACAATAAAATACAGGGGAAAAGGGGGGTGGTCTGCTGCGCAGGGTTGACGGTGCGGTGTATATACGTGTATGTATGACCATTGGACACTCTCTTCTTCTTGTATCTTTCTTGTGTATATAAAACCTTTATAAACCCTTTAAATTAATTCTAATTATTAAATAAATATATTTTTTATTCTTTGACGTTTACTTGTCCACTTTTTGGGGTCTTAAGGACCCTTTTTATCTGTTTGGTGACCCCTAACAGCCCCTCCGGCCTCTCGGGTGTATAGGCACCTCAGCAACAGCTACAACGACAGCAGCAGCAGCAGCAAGACCGTTATAGGCCTTCCTTATTTAGCTGCTGCTGCAACAACCTCAACAGGCAGCGTTTCAACAACTGCTACCTCACCAGCAGCAGCAGCAGCAACAGCAACAGCAGCAACACCAGCAGTTTTTTTCCCCTAAATGTCGTCTAGTAGCAGCACACAGTATGGGGGCCCCACAGGGCCCATTGACCCTGCGCCTCCACGAGGTACTGAGCTGCTTATGGGGCCCCCTGCTGCTGCAGCACAGCAGCAGGAGAGGAGCCATCAGCAGATTGGTGCATGCCCATTACCTACAGGGGGGCCCCAGGGTGCTGCTTCTGCAGCACAGCAACAGGAAAGGAGTAGCCAGCAGAGTGATGCATGCACAGGGGCCCCAGGGGGCCCCCAGGGGGCCCCACTAAGAGGAGGGTACCATAGGGACGTCCGTCTACCCTTAAGGCCAGTAGAGAATTTGCAGCTTAATAGAAAACATAAACATAGAGAGGCACAGCAGCAGCCATTTAAGCACAAGCAGCAGCAGCAGCAGCAGCAGCAAGGAGGGCAGCATGAGGAAAGGACAAAGGGATTGGATCTCAAGAAGCAGCAGCAGCAGCAGCAACAGCAGCAGCAGCAGCAGCACGAAGCTAATGGTACACGGGTAAAACGCAAACAACATGGATTAACGGGGAGAGCAGCAGCTGCTGCAACAGGTGCAGCAGCAGGGGAAGCAACAGCAACAACAGCAGCACCACCACCACCGCCACCACCAACAGCAGCACAAACAGCAGCACAAACAGCAGCACAAACAGCAGCAGCAGCAGCAGCAGCAGCAGCAGGTTCTTCAAAGGGTGCCTTAGTTCCCTTATCTAATACAAAGAAGCCCCGTCGCCGTCCCTTCGTTACTGCTGCTGCTGCTGCTGCTGCTCAGGGTACAGGACGGGGCCCTTCCTTCCGCATCAATCTCTCAATGTACGGACAACAGGGGGGCCCCCCTAATGGAGACCCCACTCAGGGGCCCCCTCCTAATGGGGGGCCCCCCACTGGGGGCCCCCACGAAGAAGGGGGCTATGATACCCAATTGAGCACTGGCGAAGCAGGAGAAGAAGGACCTCCTGCATCAGCAGCAACAGCAGCAGCAACAGCAGCAGAAGCAACAGCAGCAGATGCAGCAGATGCAGCAGATGCAGAAGAAGACATAGAAATTGAGACGGACTCAGAATCAGCAGCAGCAGCAGCAGCAGCAGCAGCAGATGCAGCAGGAGGAGAAATAGTACCTGTTGCAGCAGCACGAGCAGCAGATCCTGTAGCTAATCTTCCTGCTGCTCGTATATCGATGCGTCCAGCAGCAGCAGCAGCAGCAGCAGGAGCAGCAGCAGCAGGAGGAGGAACAGAAGCAGCAGCAGCAACAATAGACCCATCATTAGAGAGCTCATGTTATAGCTTATCAAGAGGAGTACAGAAAGAAGCAGCAAGAGCAACAGGAGCAGCAGGAGGAGGAGAAGGAAGAAGAGAACCATTAGTAGTATTAGTAAAAGATGATGAAGAAATATGGAGAGAATGGGAGGGTTTACGCCTATTAGGGGAAGGGGTTTATGGTAGGGTTTATGAGGTAATAAATAAGGAGACAAAGGAGACAATGGCATTTAAGAGGATGTATTTATATACAAAAAAAAAAGATACAATAAATAATAATAATATAAATAATAATAATAATAATAATATTAATAAAGATGAATATAATAATATATTATTATATAATAATAATATTGATGCTGCTGCTGCTGCAGCAGCAAAAGGAGGAGGTATATTACCTTCTGTGCTGCAGCGTGAGGTGTCTCTGCTGCAAACCCTAAAATATACACCTAATATAATAAATATAATTAGGGTTTATATAGGTACATATAGATGTTATTTAGGGTTTCCTCTTATACAGGGAGGAACATTAGCTGAATATATAAGGAGATGTAGTACATGGTCAGATTATATTAGGTTATGTAGCACCAGCAGCAGCAGCAGCAGCAGCAGCAACTGCAGCAGCAGCAGCAGCAGCAGCAGGAGTTGTAGTAGTAGTCCTCAGGTTTCTCCTGCACTTGCTGCTTCCTTTACACCATCTAATTGTTGTTGTATACAACTAGCAGCAGCAGCAGCAGCAGCAGATAATAATAAGGAGCAGCAGCAGCAGCAACAACAACAAGTGCAACAGCAGCAGTCAATAGATATAGATATGTGTACATCTCCTTTTTGCTGCTGCTGCTGCATGCGCTGTATACCTATATGCGGCCTACCTTTAGGTGTATGTTTACGTATTGCTTATTCATTATTACGGGGTGTATATGCAGCTCATAAGAAAAGGATAATACATAGGGATATTAAGCCAGATAATATCTTGCTGCAATGGGTAGAGGTGCCTATACACCCCAATTATATTCATAATAATAATACTGATGCTGCTGCTGCTAATGCTGCTGCAGCAGCAGCAGCAGCAGCAGCTAATGCTGCTAAAGAATTCAGCAGGAAATTACAGTTTGGTACTGTAGAGAAAAAAGATGATACAGAACAGCAGCAACAGCAGCAGCAGCAACAGCAGCAGCAGCAAGTGCAGCAGCAGCAAGTGCAGCAGCAGCAGCAGGAGGAGAGTGATGATGAAGAAGATGATACATCAGGAGAAGAAGAAGAAGAAAAAGAAAAAGAAGAAAAAATAAATAAAAATAAAAAAGAATATATAAATAAAGAATATATAAATAAGGATAATAAAAAGAATAATAATAATAATAATAATAATAATAATAATATTAATAAAGAAGAGGAAGAAGAAGAGGAAGAAGAAGAGGAAGAAGAAGAAGAGGAAGGAGAAGAAGAAGAGGAAGAAGAAGAAGAGGAAGAAGAAGAGGAGGAAGGAGAAGAAGAAGAGGAAGAAGAAGAAAGTAGTAGTAATGACGAAGAAGAAGAGGAAGAAGAAGAAGAAGAAGAAGAAAATAATAATAATAATATAAATAATAATATAAATAATAATGAAGAAAATATAAACAATATAAATAATAATATAAATAATAATAATAATAATAATAATAATAATAAATTAAATAAAAATAAAAAGAATAAGAATAAAAAGACTAATAAAGAAAAAGAAATAAAAAAAAATAAAATAAATAAAATAAATAAAAAAAAAGAAAAAAAAGAAGAAAAAAAAGAAGAAAAAGAAGAAGAAGAAAATAAATTAGGTATAGATATACCTCTGCCTCCTCCTTTTCTTTCTTCTCTTTTTATTGCTGACTTTGGATTAGCAAGGACTCTTCCTTTCTTTACTAAATATGATTGTATTAATCAGCAGCAGCAGCAGCAGCAGCAGCAGCAGCAAGAGCAGCAGCAGCAAGAGAGGGATGGGTATGGGTGCAGCAGCAGCAGCAGCAGCAGCAGGAGTAGCAGCAATACACCTATTGGTATAGAAGAGAAAGGATCACCAAATAATTCTCCATCTGCAGCAGCAGCAGATGGATCCCCATCAACAGCAGCAGATAACAGCAGCAGCAGCAGCAACAGCAACAGCAGCAGCAGCAGCAGCAGCAGCAACGAAGGAGGTATAAATTTATCACCAGAAATAATAACATTAAATTATAGACCTCTAGAGGTATTATTAGGAAGTAATCATTATACTCTTGCTGTTGATATATGGAGTGTAGGGTACGTCCTGCTGCTGCTGCTGCTGCTGCTGCTGCTGTTGCTGCTGCTGTTGTTTTCTGTTGGTGGTGATGGTGGTATTGCTGCTGCTGTTGGTGATGGCGGTGGTGGTGGTGGTGGTCCTCCTACTCGTACAACTCTTGTTACTCATATGCTGCTCCTCCTGCTGCTGTTGCTGCTGTTGCTGCTGCTGCTGCTGCTGCTGCTGCTGCTGCTGCAGTTGTGTAATAATGGAGTGTCTAATAGGTAGTGAATTAATAGAAGGATCTTGTGAGGTCTCTTGTATCTTTCGTATATTACAAACCTTTGGTACTCCTACACAACAAGAATGGCCAGATATCTACTCTCTACCCTTTATGGTAAACCCTAAACCCTAAACCCTAAACCCTAAACCCTAAACCCTAAACCCTAAAAAAAGGTTTGATTCTAGATTCTAGATTCTGATTATTCATTAACCTTTGGTACTCTTACACAACAAGAATTGCCATATATATACTCATTACCCTTCATGGTAAACCCTAAACCCTAAACCCTAATTAATCCTAAACCCTAAACCTTAAGTACTCAATTGGGAAGGGGGAGGGAAAGCCATATATGCCAGGAGAGGCCACGCCTCCTCAAGGGTTTAGGGTTTAGGGTTTTGGGGTTTTGGTGCAGAGCCCTTTATTACCTGTATTCCCTAAACCCCCGTTAGCTATTGAACAAATCCTCGCAGACAAAGGAAGAATTGATGCCCTCAGTAACCCTGCATGGGTCGATCTCCTTAACCAGTAAACCCTAAACCCTAAACCCTAATAGCTAAACTCTAATTCACCGTGCAGGTAGCATGCAGTCTCTCAATCCGCAAACCCTAAACCCTAAACCCTAATTTGCACATCTGATATCCTGGATGCGTGCAGTGCAGAGCCTCTGTGTACAAGGCCTGAAAATTAGGGTTTAGGGTTTAGGGTTTAGGGTTTGTGGTGTTTAGGTTGCTGCAAGTAAACCCTGATCGTCGCATAAGTGCAGCAGACGCCCTTCGTATGCCTCTCTTTAAGGATTTACCTCCTTCTGCATATTTATAAGAAAAAAATAAATAAATAAATATAAATAAATATAAATAAATATAAATATAATTGATTAAATAAATATAAATATAATTAATTAAATATAATTAAATTATTTTTTATTGTCTTTATGGTTTATACTCTTGAAGAATTTTCCTTAAACACTTTCTTGACTACCTTCTTTGTCTCGAAACCCTAAACCCTAAACCCTAAACCCTAAACCCTTTTCTCTTCAGCGATACGGGCTCCATGGCCACTGTATTCAGCTGAAAAGAAAAGGGTTTGAGTGGGGTTTAGGGTTTATGGGGGAGTAGGGCTTGCATGTTATTTAGGGTTTAGCGTTGGAGCCAACTTAGGGTTTAGGGTTTGAAGAGCTTAGCGTCTAAACCCTCGCTCTAACCTCTAGGGTTTGTTTAAGTTGGGCTTATCGTTTTGACTTTATTCGAAACCCTTAAAAAGGGTTTAGGGTTTAGGGTTTGACGAGGGTTTAGGGTTTGAGGAGGGTATAAATAAATTTAGGGTTTGAGAAAGTATAGTCTAATACATTGTTGATGCTAGGGTTTAGGGTTTAGGGTTTATAAACCCTCGCCAGCCCCTAGGGAGGAGCAGTAGAAAAACAAATGGATAGAGAAGGAAAGAAGAAGGAAGGGTTCAGGGTTTAGGGTTAAGAAAGGGTGTAACAAATAAAAGAATATGCTCCTCCTACAATATATATTAATTAAGGGTTTAGGGTTTAGGGTTTCTAAACCCTAATTCTCTTTAAGGAATATCAAAATTTGTCTCTGCTGTAACCGTCACAGGATCTCCAGGAAGCAACGGGGCCTGAAACACAAACCCTAAACCCTAAACCCTAAACCCTAAACCCTAGCAGACCTGCAAAAAGGTTGACGGTCCATAAAATGACATAAACTACACATAAACTTATATTTATATCTATATTTATTATTTACTATTTATATTTATTATTTATTATTTATTATTTATATTTATATTTATTATTTATATATATTTATTTATACACACAGAAGGACATTGTTGTTCTCTTGATTCAAAGACGCGGAAGAAAGTTGGACAAATTAACAAACAAAAGAACATTCTTCCTTGTGTCTGCGCAGCAGCAGCAGCAGCAACAGCAGCAGCAGCAACAGCAGCAGCAACAGCAAAGATATCCGTTAGGGCAGCAGTACATGGGAAGGAAAACAGCGATTTCTAAACCCTAAACGTGAAACTGCAAACCCCAAACCCTAAACCCTAAACCCTAAACCCTAAACCCTTACCAGATCATTAACACATTGTTTTTTATAAATAATAGAATTTTTAGTTTGTAGACGATCTAAAACCTCCATCATCACCGAACCCTCGCATAGCATCCATGAGGGAAACCCTCGAGAGGCTAAACAAGGAGATTGGGCCTGCATAAACAATAAACCCTAAACCCTAAACCGTAGGAGAGGGGGAGGGGAAGAGGGGGGAGGGGATGCATGCTGCATATGCTGCGAAGAACTGACAGATATATGCCGTCGACGGGAAACACCAAATCGCCTAATAAAACCCTAAACCCTAAACCCTAAACCCTAAACCATAAACCCTAAACCCTAAACCCTTACCTCCCAGAAGTCCTTAATGTCTGCTGCATCAAAGAAACCCTTTCTTTGTACATCCAAACAATCAAATAAAAAATTTAAAGAAGCTTTAATGCACTGTACACACAACAATAAACCCTAAACCCTAAACCCTCATAAACCCTAAACCCTAATAAACCCTAATAAACCATAATAAACCCTAATAAACTCTAATAAACCCTAATAAACTCTAATAAACCCTAATAAACCCCAATAAACCCTAATAAACCCTAATAAACCCTAAACCCTTATTGCTTACACAAGGAGAGACAATGCGGGCCTTGGCAGGGTTTGGGCTCCAAACCGCCGTACAGTAATCAAGGGAGGCAAGGAGACGAATTAAATCATCTACTGCCTATTATAAATAAAAAAAAAAGAAAAAAAAGGAGACAAAAGGAGATAGTAAAAGGAGACAGTAAGAGGAGACAGAAGGAGACAGGCTAGTAATTTCTTACAAAAATATAAAGGGAGGCAAGTAAATCCAGCAGAAGTAGCGGCAGCAGCAGAAACAACATCAGCAGCAGCAGCAACAACAGCAACAGTAGCAGCAGTAAGAACAGCAGCAGTTATGAGGGCGAATATCTTACCAGGCACAAGACCTCCTTCTCTCCCTTTTGCTGCTGCTGCTGTTGCTGTTGTTGCTGTTGCTGCTGCTGCTGTTGCTGCTGCTGCTGTTGCTGCTGCTGTTGCTGCTGCTGCTGCTGGTCTTGAGGGTCTGATTGAAAACTATGCCAATATAAAGAAGAGGGTTTATTAGGGTTTATAATAAAATTATATTTAGTAATAAAAAAAGAATGAAGAAAGAAAGGAGACACATCGAAGGAAAGGGGACAAACTGCAGCAGCAAGGGCCTGCAGCAAATCACCAACTGTCTCCTTATTGCAGCAAAAACCATTCTGTCTTAAAAAATCTGCAGCAGAAACAGCAGCAACAGCAGCAACAGCAGCAATAGCGCATGCAGTAGGAGCAGCAGCAACAGCAACTGCACATGCAAGAGGAGTAGCATTAGCAGCAATGCCAGCAGCAGCAGCAACTGCAGCAGCAACTGTAGCAGCAGCAGCAACTGCAGCAGCAGCAGCAGGCTTACTGAATATATCATAAGCGAATTGAGCAGACCATTGGTCACCACTTTCTTCTTGAGGGGACATCAACTGCAGCAGCAAATAGATAAATAAATAAATAAATAAATAAATATATTATTTACTTATTTATTAAGTGTCTCCTTTTTAATCATTTATTATCTAATTGTCTCTGTTTTTTCTTCTTGTGTCTGCTTATCTCATCTATCTCTTCTTTTACTAAAAAAAAGGCACAAAAGACACCTCCTTCCCTTGCTACACCTGAGGTTTAGGGTTTAGGGCTTAGGGTTTAGGGTTTACGGGTCTATATAAAGAATTTAAGAGTTGTTGGAATTCTTCAAACCCTAATAAATCTACACAACGCACAAACCCTCGATTTCCTACATCTAAGACAAAAAAGAGACGAACTGCCTGCACGCAAACAATAAACCATAAACCCTAAACCCTAAGACATAGAACAGCAACACCAGCAAGCACAGCAGCAGCAACAGCAGCAACCACAGCAGCAGCAGCAGCAACAGCAGCAACCACAGCAGCAACAGCAACAGCAGCAACTAAAATAGCAGCAGCACGAGCAGCAATAACATTAACATGAACATCAGTAGCACCAAGCACATCAACAGCAGCAGTAGCAGCGGCGACAGCAGCCACATCACCAGCAGCAGCAGCAAGAGCAGCAGCAGCAGCATGAGCAGCAGCAACAGCAAGAGCAGCAGCAGCAGCAACAGCAGGAGCAGCAGCAACAGCAAGAGCAGCAGCAGCAGCAACGGCAAGAGCAGCAGCAGCAGCAACGGCAAGAGCAGCAGCAGCAGCAACGGCAAGAGCAGCAGCAGCAGCAACAGCAAGAGCAGCAGCAGCAGCAACAGCAGCAGGAGTAGTAGTATAATTACAAGATATCTGCAGAAGAATAATAAGAAACCTGGATGTGCAGATCTATCTTCTAATAAAATAGCAAAAAGAGAAGGAAATGATGAATCAGATGCCCAATCTATAAACATTCGTGATAAATTCTGAGTATATACACCCCAAAACCCTAAACCCTAAAAGCAGGAATAGTATTGGAAACACAAGGAACTGATACGGAAACAGGAGCAGCAGCAGCTGCAGCAGCAACAGCAGCAGCTGCAGCAGCAACAGCAGCAGCTGCAGCAGCAACAGCAGCAGCAACAGCAGCAGCTGCAGCAGCAACAGCAGCAGCTGCAGCAGCAGCAACAGCAGCAGCTGCAGCAGCAACAGCAGCAGGAGGGAGGAGCCTGGCTTACGTCAATAGTGAATTCTTCTTTCTCGTTGAGGTATGGTTGCACCTTCTCCTTTAAATGGACATTAAAGACTGCAACGCAAACCCTAAACCCTAAACCCTAAACCTCATCACCTAGAGGCAACTTTCTCTACCCGGCCGTCGTAAACCCTGAACCCTAAACCCTCAAGCAACCCTCCCCATCAAGGGTTCCTCAACCCCAAACCCTCGACCCAAAATCCTTAACCCCAAACCCTAAACCCTAATCCCTAAACCCTAAACCCTCGGCGTACTGGAGTTAAGAAGAGTTCTTGCTGCAGTTTGTGTAGAAACATCTCCGTGTGCATCACGAAGAAATTCACAAAAAACCGCCGGAGAAAAAAAACTAGAAAAAGGGCCCCCTCCTATTAATCCTGCCTGTACTCATAAACCCTAAACCCTAAACCCTAAACCCTAAAAGCTCTAATAAAACCCTAAAACTTAAACACTAAACCCTAGCTTTGAGCAACTGATTGGTTAGAGAGAGACCTAGTACACTTGTAAACAAGTAAGCTCACGAAGAGTAATCAAGGCATGCAAATGGTTATAAGACACCTAGGGTTTAGGGTTTAGGGTTTAGTGTTTAGGGTTTACCTTTTTGAATGCCCTATAGGATATGACAGCTTTAGCGGGGGGGAAAGCGGTGGTTTCTGCAGCAGCAAAATGTGGTGGTAGAACAATGCTTTGCTGCTGCTGCTCCTCCCCCTCCTTCCCTTGCTGGTGCTTCTGCTGCTGCTGCTGCTGCAGCACCAGCTGCTGCTGCTGCTGCAGCAGTTGCTGTTTTTCTTGGGGTAAGTCACTAAATAAATTAACTATTTCTTTTGCTGATGGATAAGCAGCAACTTTACTAAAAGAATGAAGACAGCAAGCCGTCGTCTTCCATGCTGCCCACAAACTAGAGAAACGGGGGGCCCCTGCACCCTCTTGGGGGCCTCCCATACCCTCCGTTGGAGCCCCTGTACCTTCCTGGGGGGGGCCGTTGTCCCCAGGGGGGCCCTGGGGGCCCTCTGTACCATTCACAGGGGGCACTGCATCTGGCACTACAGCTGCGGCTGTTGCTGCTGTGGGAGAAGGGGAAGAGGAAGCGGATGGATGAGCTGCAGGTGATGCTGCAGCAGGAGCAGCAGCAGATTCAGCAGCAGATGCAGCAGCAGCAGAAGCTGCAGAAGTCAGCTCTGCAGCCCCACAGGAAGCAGCAGCACTGCCAGGGCCCCTAGGCGACCCTTCAGCAGCACTGCCTTCATGGGGCCCCTGCATCCGCTGCCGCAGGCCCTCGAGCTGGTGCTGCCGCTGCTGCTGCTGTTGCTTTTGTTGTTGCTGCTGCACTCGGTGCTGAGGCGCCTAGAGGGGGGAGGGTGATAGAAAGTATAAGTAGAATTATCAAGAAGGCCTACTTTGTGGGGAGGGCAGAAGTGGATTGACGTCGAGTATGTAAGGATTAGGGTTTAGGGTTTAGGGTTAAGGGTTTAGTGCTTAGGGTTTCGTGTTTAGTGTTTCTGGTGTGTGTACAGCGGTGCCGCGGCGATCACCGCAGCTCTTCCGCTTGACTATTATATTTATATTAAAAAATACAATGAAAATCAATACAAAAATAAAAAAACTGGATAATATAGAGGAAAATGTAACCTAATTGGGGGGCCCCCGGGGGCCCCCCTCTCCCGGTGTCTGTCGGCGGCGGAGGGGCCCCCAGGTCCAAGTGTATGGGGGTATTTGGGGTTGTCTTTTCGGTTTTCCGCCGTTAAATGTTTTAAATATAATTTAATTATTAATTTGATAATTAATTAGCATTTAAATGAGGGAAAATGGATATAATTTGCCGACGAAACCTCCGATTACACCCCATTATACGGGAAACCCACCGTAGAGGGTTCCGACAGCTGCTGCTGCTGCAGCTTCAAGCCCATTTCTTTGCGGTTTGTTTTTCGTAAGGAATTGTTTACTTTTATTTATTTGTATACATCAATTTTAAATGGTAAAATAGGGGAAGAAACGAAGAAAGAAGGAAAGCATGGGAGGCCCCTCCCCCCCTTACTAGCTAGCCTTAGCTCGCCATACGTAGCCATACCTAGCGGTGTAGTTAGACATATCTAGTCACAGCTAGCCATATACAGTCGTAGATAGCCAAGGATCGCCATAGGTAGCCACCGCTAGATATAGATAGCTATTGCTAGGCCTACCTATCCGTAGCCAACTATAGTTCGCATGGTAGGTGGGTAATCTGATGTAAGCCATAGCTAGCCACGGCTAGGTATCGTTAGCTATGGCTAGCTACAGCTCTATGAAGGCGGAGGATTTAATGCTTTAATGTGTATGGCGAAAGAATTTAGCGCTATGGAAGAGATATGAAAGAAGAAAAAGAAGAAAAAAGGAAACATGAAAAGAAGAAATGCTTATATTTTATTTAGTGCCTTTGTCTTTTTATATATTTATTTATTTATTTTTGTCCTTGTCTTTCTTACTAATTAGCGCGTCTTTGTCTCCATTTGTTTATCTATTTATTGATTTATTTATGTAATAAAAGGAGACACTTCTTATTGTATTTTATATGTATTTCTTGTAAAAAAGGCTGTCTAATTAACTTAATCAAAACTAATCCCTAAACCCTAAACCCTAAAACAAAAAAAAAAGACAAAATGTTGATATACAACAAACCCTAAAACCTAAACCCTATGCTTTCAACCTCACAGCAGCTACGGCAGCAGCACAAGCAGTAGCAGCAGCAGTAGTAGCAGCAGCAATAGCAGCAGCAGTAGTAGCAGCAGCTGCAGTAGCAACAGCAGCAGCAACAGCAGCAGCAGCATCTACTACTGCTACTGCTGTTGCATATCTAGTGCCAGCTGACTGGCATAGGCATGCGACAACAACAGAAGCACCAGCAGCTGCTGCTGCTGCCTCACAGACAGTAGCAATACTTGCTTGGCTGTCTGCTGGTAGTGCTGCTGCTGCTGCAGCACTAGCAGCAACAGACATTTTCTCTTATTGCTGCTAGTGCTGTTCTTGCTGCTGCTGATGCAATAACAGCAAAGATATGCAACGCTTCGTAGAGCTGCTGTTGCTGCTGCAGCAGCAGCAACACCAGCAGTACGAACGGGAGGCGCATATCTTTCTGCTGCTGCTGCTGCTGATATGCAGGTACCGCGGCGACAGCAATAGCCGTTAGCAGCAGCAGCAGCAACAACAACAGCAATAATAGCAAGCAGGCACTCGTCAGCTAGGAGGAGCAGCAATACCTGCTGCTGCTGCTGCACGAATACCTGCTGCAGCAGCAGCGCAGATATGTTGCAGAGGCACAGTAGCAGCAACAAACGCAGCAGGAAATGGAGCATCAATTTCAGCAGCAACAGAATCATCAACAACAGCAACAACAACAGCGAGAAAAGCAACTGCAGCAGCAACTGCAGCAGCTACAGCAGCAACAACAAACAACTGCAGCCGCAACGGCAGCAACAGAAACATCAGCAACAGCAGCAGCACCACCAACAGCAGCTGTTGCTGCTACGGGTGCTGCCGTTGCTGTTGTTGTTGGTGTTACTGTTGTTGCTGCTGCTGGAGTTGCTGTTGTTGCTGTTCCTGTTACTGCTGCAGTTGCTTTTCGTGCTGTTGTTGCTCCTGCTGCTGTTTCTGACGCTGCTGCTGCTGCTGTTGCTGCTGCTGTTGCTGCTGCTGTTGCTGCTGCTGTTGCTGCTGATTTCGCTGTTATTTCGTTTTTTTAATCTATAAGAGGTTGAACTTTCGCCTTCACACAAAAAGAAAAAAACGACAAAATATCTATTCATATATTTATCTGCTTATTTGCTTATTATATTTACTTACTTACTGGTTTATATAGTGATAGGGTTTCGGGTTTTGGGGTTTACGATTTGTCATCCGTTCTTTCTGTACTTTTGCAGGTACACCTGAAACTAAAAAGCAAAAGGATACACCGTTGCAGCATTGATATGTGTTCAGGATCTAAGTACTAGGGCGTAGGAATTAGGGATTAGATTTTGACACCCGTACTGTATTTTCCCCCACCCAACCTCAACTGGAAAAGCAAACAAAAAACGACATGCAACAGCGCTATACGTGTAGGGTTGAGGGTATAGGGATTAGGGGTAAGGGATTAGGGTAAAGGGTTT